TATGGTCATATATATATATATAGGATATATAGCGCTTATTTTGAATGCGATATTTTCTTTATAATGTATACACTGAGCGTTTACGTGATCATAGACGTAATATTGTGTGGATCTGAATCACTTCACATTTTGAAGTACACGGGAGTGTCTTGTGTTGGATGTACCCAACACAAGACACACGTTTGCGCGCAATGTACGCCTAAACCTTGAACGCCCCGCTGAATGCACCACCACCTTTGCGAATTTGTGGCCTTACTCCCAACAAAGCGTTGCGACGCTGTTGACTAAAAAACTAAACAAGCGGTGAGTTGTTTCGCGCCACTGTTCGTATCTATTGTAATAGGATGTCATTGTAGACCCAAAGATAGTTGGTTGATATAAAAGTTACTATAGTTATGGTATTGAGTGCACTGCATTGGTATTGATGCAGTAATTTTGTTATAACTATATTTTACATTTTATTAATTTTCAAAAGCTTAATATGAAATGAAACCTACTTTATTCTTCGCACACACATGTATTTCATTAAACGCTCAACTGTGTTAATGCCATTAGCAGTGAACAGCTTAATTAGATAATGCAAGTTCCCTAATGTACAGGTCGGGCAAAGAAGCGTGAGTGAGCAGATTTTCTATGTAATATGAGGTAAAAGGCATTTGTTCCCGCTTTATGTAGCTGCACTTGCTTATAATGTTGTGTTAGATTAGGGCTATTCTTGGGGGATTAATATGTTTTAATGTGTATTACTCTCTACTACTATGTACTTTACTTACTTTTACAGAGACGAAATAAGGGTCATCTATCCCTGGCAACTCATCAGTCAAATGGTACTTACATCACTTTTAAACATTAACTCTCGTTGGCGCTGAAATCACAAATTAGAAAGCTGAAATAGTACAGCGCCAACAACAGTGTGTCTCTAATATCTCTAACAATGGGCTGTTTCATTCGGTGGTGTGGGAAAAACACGAAAACATCTAATTACAAATCAAACGGAATTACATTTCATTGGCAATTAAATATTAAATTAAGCAATTTTTCAATATTCGTCCAATATAGCAAAGCTCAAGTTAAACTGGTCGTTTAGAACTGAAACAATTGACGACACCCGTCAATTGTTTCGAATCCGGGCTGTCCAATCGGAGAGCAGTTGTCACTGTAATGATATGGCAGGATAGTTTTCAAACAAATAAACTGACATTTCGTCTCTATTTCTGGTTATATAAATACTCGATGCTAAAGGCAGATAGAAAGCAGGTGTTCACGTTCTTCGTTCAAGCGTTCCACTGTTCACATCTGTTTGCTGAGTCTGATATATTACCGGAAGCGGTTCCGACCTACCTGCTCTATGCGTCACGTTTTCAGTTATAACACGACCTTTGTATCTGTCTTAGAGTTTTATCATCATCATCAAACCATTTATACGTCCGGCTGCTGGGACACGCGTCTCTTCTTATCGAGGTTTTTAAGCCATAGTCCTTCAAGCTGTCCTAATGCGAGATGGGGACTTCACACGTTTGACAAGTGTTGTGAACCATTCTTCAACGTGCAGGTTTTTTCACGATGTTTTCTAACACCGAAAAGTTCATGCCAAATATCAAATAAATTTAAGCACATAAATTCTCGGAGGTGCGAGCCCGGATTCGAACCTACGACCTTTGTTTTGTCGGCAGGTTAAACCATTAGGCTAACAGGGCCTTTTTCCTAGAGTTTACTAGATTGTAATTGTAGGTAGGCACATAGTAATAGACGTCCCTTTTAACATTTAAGGTTATTTGCAGTCTGCATCTATTAACTCCACGGGTTTCTTCGCTCTTACTCCAACCCGGCTTTACATGCGACCAAGTTTATTTAGGTCCACACAACGTTGAACCGTATATTAAGAAGAACATTACCATAATTCGTGTACGTTTGTTTATTAGATTTACCTACCAGGAGTTACGTTATAAATCCATCTTTTACAAATTGGTATCCTACGAGTGTATAAAATACACAGCAAATCGGAAAACAATACAATGTACTGACAAGGTCTTTGAAAGACTTTCACAAACAAAACTCTTTGTGACCGTATTTTTGTGTCATTTATTCATGCTCGAACTTATCTCCTCGATACTAGAGTGTACAATATTCACACGTTGAGACACTCAAGAAATTCAGCATGAGAGTTCATTCTTCATTTATTTTATCGATGCCATGAGTATCTTATTCTGAGGATTGAGTCGAGTTTCTGAAGTAACTTTCATGAAATTTAAAGTTAACGGTAAATTCGGTAAATCCGTCATTAGATTACGAATTCATGATAACACAGGATAAGTTCCACATAAAATAAGCAAATCAAATTAAGTGATACGTTTTATATTCATCAGTAAATAATAGTGTGAGTGACAAGCAGTTACTAGGTAACGGATATACGTTAGTCCTAGCTTAGTTAGCCCCAATTCCTGAACCAGAGTCCAGTGATCCGTATCTGCCAATTAAATATTAGCTCATAAGGCGTCACTCCTGGGGCCTAATATGAACTCTTATCTCCACGCAGTTTACGACGTAACTGAACTGCCTTGTAATTTCGTATTATGAACTTGTAATACCAGCCAGTCAGCGGTCACGTGACACTAGATTGCCTTCTGCCGAAGTTTGGCTGACAATATCGTATTACAAGCGTTATTTTGACATTTCACGGTTGATCTGTCAAGAAGTAACAGCAATAAACTATTGAGTTTACAGTGTCTTGGTGTAGCATTTATTGAATTTTTTTGCGCATAATTGTATAATAATTACTATAATTTTGAGTTTATATATTTTTAGGCAATCGTTTCGTTATGTGTGATGAATACGAAATGTTTGAGTGTCTCGAAAGTGATACACACACGATAATAATATGGGAAAAATCCAAAGAAGACAATTGCGAGATCGTAGTGATCCGTTTGGAATGGATGCACAACAATTTATGAAAAGATACCGGCTTAGCAAAGATATGGTCCACAATCTTTGCGATGAACTTAAACCGCACATGTCGAGGCCTACAAAATCCACCGATTTATTGGCTGAGACTAAGGTTATTTTTCACCAAAGCCAAGTTAAATTTCTTACAATTTAATTTATAGTCAAATATTCTTAAAATATTATTGACATGTTTTCAACAAACCACAAAGTAAACATTTACCCGCGGAATTTCGTCAATGTTTGTCGTCGTTCATGAATAATACGTATCTATTATTTTTCTCTTAAACTAAGTGACAAATATAACACCGTAACTTACCGGTAAATATTCATCCACGTTTTTGAAAGTGACACTAAAAACGAGCACGAGCACGAGCTAGTCAAGTCCCAGTCATAGACAAAATAACCAGCGAGAAGTCAGCGAAAAATATGAATGTCGTACGAATATAATACGAATTTTGTCCAATCAGTTTTTGGGCGTAAAAAGAATTGCCTGGAACTTGCATGGTTTGTTAAAAGGTCACAATGCGCCCCCTGGAGTGTATCCAAGCCTCAATTTCATATAATTTGATTTGCGTATTTTAATATACGTAAACTAAGCAAATCAAATTATGCGATACATTTTATATTAATCAGTAAGTAATAGAGTGACAAAACAAGCATCTACTGGGTAACGGCTATATATCAAGTCCTTAGGTTTTGGCTTATCGATTTTTCACGTAAGTTTTCAATAGGTTCCTTTTTTGTAATATCAATTGACAGGACGAAGAAGTCGTGTAGCTCACAGACCAAATAAGGTCACTCAGGGCTTTAAATCACGAAGATCTGAGGGGCACTGCCACTTCGTCCGTCATTTTGAGACACAAGTCCCATGTGCCTGTAAGTACACCAGCACCCTTACCTTTCAAAACAGAAACGCAGTACTGCTCACAATACTGCTTAGCGGCAGAAATAGGTAAGGTGGCAGTACTTCCCTGGACGATCTCTTTCACAAGCAGCTCTACTGCTACTAAAAGATTCAATTAGGTCAGGTAATTTCGTTATCATTTATGTACGATTATAATGAAATTGTGACATACTTATATAAACTGCTTGATGCTGAATTCTGGGCGTCGAAATAATATATTATTTTGAAGTGTCATTTGCAAAGATTTGCAATTCTATGTGGTAATATTCTGCCATAGTACTGAATTCTCAGCATAATATGATGGAACATGCGTATAAATATACATGAACCTGCAGTATTATCACATGTGCAAGCATGACGTTAAGTCCAAATTATGGTATACATATATTGTTAAGCCTAGGCAACAAAGCTAGGGTTGTGTTGTAGGGCTTAAAAAAGAAAAACCATCAATCAATGTGCAGTGACCATTAAAGCGCACCCTTAGTGTAATAAGGCCACATCTGCAAAATGACAACTTTTCAGGCTAAAGATTCTGCGAACGAAATAAGTCGTTCAAAAAATTTACATAATTTCATTAAAAAAGAAGATATCCATAATATTAATCTTCAAAATAAGTCTAACCTCACGGTACCACGATTTCGTTTAACCAAGATAAACGATTCTTTTATGGGGAACTGTACACGTTTTTACAGTAAGATTCCGGAGATTATCGTTACCTAAGTTTAAAACTTATATTGAAAGTATTTTAATTGAAAAGTCGTATTACAAAATTGAATGTGTCACGTTTTAGATAAAGCAATGTGCAATGACGACATGAGTCTAGATTCTGCACAAATATGACTCAAATTGTATTCCTTAGAGCAATCTATAGAGTTTCTTGCTCGTTCTTCTCAGGGAAGTCATCATAGTGCAGGAGCAGTACCTTAAAAAATTACCTTTACTAGTGTAAAATTGTACCTATGGAATAAACTTTTACTTTGATACCTTTTATATGCTTGAATAGAAGAGATAAAATTTCATGTAATATCCATCATTTGTTTCATGTAGTTCGTGTTATTTTTATGTCTTTCTCCTTTTAAAGCAATTTTGATCACATGTAACTTTATTATACCAAGGTACGACAGGTATTTTGATTGTTTTATTTTTTCACCAGGTTGCACTTGCATCCGCTTTACATCGACGTATGGCAAGGAGCGTGGCACATTCAGCAGCCCCGACTACCCACGCCCCTACCCTGCTAGACTCGACTGCCTCCTCTACACATTCCTCGCCGCGTCTCACGAGATCGTCGAAATCATCTTTACTGATTTTGACATCTATAAAGGACATCTTGAGTAAGTTATTGATTTCGTTCACTTTCCGTTTTATTTAGGCTTTTATTTACTTTACAATGTCGACGTTACTTCCGAATAAAGGTGCAAATGTTTTTACACATTTTTTTATCAATTTGTAATGTCTCATTATCTATTCTAAAACTCCTAAATTTTATTTTACGCAAAAAAAAAATGTAACTCATATTTTAAGTAAAAGTTTTATGTAAAAATAAATGTTTTTTATAAGGAAATTATATAAATTACGCATGAGTAAAATAATAAACCTATTCAACAAAAATTTCATATGCGACGTAAAAACACAAGTCAATTTATTTCCATCATGTTATTTTATTTTATTCGGAACAACAACAGCTATTAATAACATAACATTGAGTATTTTTAGGTAAAGCTAGTTAGCGCCAATTACAGTTGTCCACATTTTCATTTTCATATATCTTACTTATGGTAAAAGTAATTTAAAAGTTAACACCTCAAAAAGAAAAAAACAAACACAAAATTACCTACAGTAACAAGCATAGCAAAAAAGTAAAGCGATGTGAAGTGTGGAATACTGACCTACAAAAAAGCTTTTTGATAAATAAATAGATACGAAACAAAAAAATAAACCAATTCCGTAAGTTCTTTAATTTCCGACATATATTTAAAAAAAAAAATTCCTGATGAATTATTAGGGATATATAATGGATCCAGAGTAATTAGAGTTTTTAAGCTTTTTATTTTTCATGTAAAGAGGTGTTTTGATAATAAGTACACGTTTGTTCGGTGGGGTTGTGGATATATTAGTTTTGTGAAAGATGATGAGTCATGTTTAAAGTTACATCATCATCAGCTTACACATATCCGTTGCTGGATATACGCCTTCCGCTGCATGTGCCGCCCGCATCCAGCACACTACGTTTGGTATATGGTATATGGTCGCCATTTTAGAACAATTCTGCTGCATCGTCCAACAGCCCTCCTGTAGACTGGATACCCACTGCCACTTATGATCACTGATTTTGCGAGTCATGTCGGTCACTTTAGTTGTCTGATGTATGACTACATTGGAAATTCGATCCATCAGAAAAATTCCATTCATAATTCATACCATACTTCAAAGTATACGTAAGATATAACCCGATTTGCACTGAGGCTAAACACAATCTGAGAATACACCGCTAGTTGATTCGCATTTGGCATAGATCTTTAAGAATTTTCATTTTATACTGCAATTAAACGATTCAATTTCGACGATTATTAAACGAATGTACCCCTATAAACTTCGAAGTAATATCGGAACATAAACAACTTATTGACCTCTAACTTGAAAATAACCGGCGAAATTGCACTTGAATATCTCCAGGGCTCCATTTACATTTTCATCACATTCGCAGCTTGTAATAAAGCAGCGCTGTTAATGTTTTAAAGGTCGTTGTGAGAACAATAAAGTTCAGTTCGCTATGCAAGGATCTTCGACTTCGCATCTTTTGAGACTAATTATTGTAAGAAAACTAAAAAATGTATTTATGTAAGAATGAAATGAGATATTTATTGTTTCACATAAATAGCTTGTTTTTCCTTATTCCTTTGTCAACAACAATTTAGTAATAAGTTGCCTTGTTTATTCGCAAACTGTTCGAAATTTGTTATTTCCCAGTTGTTTTAAATATATTTCGCAATGAATAGAAATGTATAAAAGTTTTTGCATAACATTAATGGCTCTGTAATGTTATACTAGAAACATAAACGAAAAATGCCTGACTGCCTATTGGATTCGTCGGTTTTGGATTTTTAACCTGAATTATCCCACGCCTGAAAGTTCCATTTACTTTAGACCTACATTCCAATACATATAGTAAGGTACGCATTACTCTTGGGAAAAGGCGGGGATCGAAAAAATATTTATTGCCATTTAATAAATGGCTGGGCAATATTCTTACTCGCCAGCTTTCCATCAGATGGACCAACTGTTTACCGGCTTGAATAAATAAATATTTTGGCACTATTTTTTGCTATAAGTCGTATGTACCTTGAAAACAAATCTCACGTTGGTGATTATTTTAGTAACTTCCCGCAATGCTAACGGTTAGACACTAAATACATTTGTAGAAAGTACAAACAAGTTACTACATACTTAGTTAGCTGTAACTAACTATCTACTTAGTTTGTTCCGTCAACGGTACGCTAATTCAGGTCGAGATTTAAATTTAAGCGTGCTGTTTAATGTATGATTCTGTGGCAAAAGCGATACAACAATATAGCTTCACTGAAACTAAGTCAATCTCATATCTATATAAAGAAAAATATAAATGTTGAAAAATCTCATCTCGGAATGGCGCCATTTACAACAGATCGTAAACCAATTACAGGGAAACTAATGTCCTCTATACACACATTCTTATATGCTGTAGTAGGTACTGTAAAATCTCGCATACAAACTCATTTTATTATAACTGTTGATTCTCGAAACGCTCTGCAGATGTAATAATAATGCAGATACTAGTGAATTCCATGTAGTATGATTACCAGAGCAACCAAATTAACTCGTAGGAAGTATCCAGAATATCTAGACCAAAACTAATTTTCAAAAGTTTCTTTCCAAATTGACCCTACCAGAAATCGAAGCCAGAACCTCTCTATCAAGCGCCTACAGTACTAACCGCTAGGGCACCAGCTCGTCAAGTTAGTATGAATTTCTTACAGTCTTTTCCTCGGCTTTTCACCCCAAGAGATTTTATGGTGCTTATTTCGTGAATTATTTGCAATTGTAAGTAATGTATGTAACCTTCAAGAGCAAACATTCCACCCAAACGAATATTAAAATTGTTGGTCTAACCGGTTTCACAGCCCTTTGTGTGCCTTCGCGGTCTCCATCCATTCATCTCTGGATGGAGTAGATTTTGGACCCGAGATCTTTTTTGAATTCTGAATTCTCCCAGCATGTTAAAATGCTCGAGATTTATAACTAGAGAAGCTTGTTTGTTTGTTCAATGTTATAGTCACTCTTTCTTTCTCTTAGTTCTTGTCAGTGTAGTAAACAACCTTCTGACTTAAGCTAACCTTTTTCTTTGACATTCTTGTGCAACTTTTTTGTTTTGATTTGATTGAAGTCACACATAAATTATTACGTAAATATTTTATCAAAGCTTATTCATTATATGAGATTGTAACTACAAAATTATTTTAGTAGTTATTTAGTATAACAGTTTAGTATGTAAGAATAACATTTTTTTTTCTATCTTGCATATAAGTGAGAATTTTAAACTGTGACTACTGAAAATATTTTAAATAAATAGTATCTTTATTTACTTCATAATTGCTAAACTCATATAAAAATAATAAGAGGCTTATAATATGAGTTCCAACAGTACCGCACCGGTACTTACAAACTATCTTTTGTTTGCTTGTAGTTTGTCTCTGTCCCAGTGCCAGTATTGTAGCCCATAAATATGTTCTCGTGGAACTAGAAATTGTACGTATTGGATGGGATATTGGGAATGAATTTTTCTCTCGAATTTGGGTTTCATTTTTTCTACTCTTTGTCTTTTGTATCGGTGAACGTTTGTAATTTTCTTTATTTTGCTACCAAATACAATGAATACCATGGCATGTATGAATTTTAAGTTATTGTTGGACCACAACGTTCACTTTTAAAATTAAAAAACTATATAGACTTAATAAAACAAATAGCGTCGACAAATGGGAAGCAATAGAGCTCCTTGTGAAAAAACTCTTCCAGAGGAGTATTGCCTCCTTACCTATTTCTGCCGCCAAGCAGTAATGTGAGCATTGCTGCGTTTCGGTTTTTAAGGATAAGGGTGCTTTTGAAATTATAGGCACACGGGACTTATCATCTTATGTTTCATGGTGACGGGCGCAGTAACAGTGCTCCTCAGATTTTTGTTATTTAAAGCTCTGAGTGGCATTGCATATTGCAAGTCTTATGAACAGGCGTGTCCCTTACCGCCAAGCGCAGGACTCGTTCGTCCCGTCACCTAGTCTTATAAAAAAAATAACACTTAGAAATCTAGTCGACCTACAATGAAAGGCCATTTGGCAATCTATCATGATTGAAGTGAGCGAACGAACATAAAACTATCACTATGTGATCCGAGAAAAGTTATGTATATTAATGTTTTTTATTGGGCGTGATCTTACTTAGTGTAAATAAGTTGTTCAAAAGAATAGTTACAGTAGATATGTGCAATGGGAGACAATGAAGAAAAAAGATCTTATTAAATTGAAATACTAAACTACATTTTAAAAGCTAAACTAAAAGCAAACAAAATAGTGGAATGGATAAAGAATATTCTTTTAAACATCACTAAAACTCTCTTTAAAATCGACCGCACATTGCAATTCAATCATACTAAGTGAGTAAGTTCGAAGGCTACAATGTTAACTTTCCGAGTTTATTCGAGAAGAAAATATAAAGATATGTTGTAAGTCTATTAATGTCTGATTCAATGTGAGTTGCTTTAATCAAAATGTTAAAGTCGTCCACTGTATATTTAAGTTGTTATACTTTATGTTCATTGTAATCATTTTTAAATCAGCCGCCTTTATGTGTATTTTAGTGCAACTAGAGAGAGAGAGAGAGTCTTTTCGCTATCTTTCAGGTCTTTTCTTTCACATATTTTGTCATGAAACCAAATTGTGGTACGAGAATAATAAAGGATGTTAAGTTATCTTCGGTTGGCTAAAGTCATAAAAACGACATTTTATTCCTTTATTAATCGTTGCATTACCGACATTTCTTTTGTTCTTTATTCACAAATACCACCTCTTCCGAAACTATTCCTAGCTCATAAGTGTTGTCAAAACGTGGCTCTTGGCATATATCACGCGGGCGTTGCGGTGACACAGTCGGCCTAATCGGGTGAAACTAACAAACGATACCGCGTTAACGTTTGTAGTTTTCGCCAACATGTGACCCTGTTAGGCTAGATTTTGTTTGCTATCTGTAGGCCTGAGTTTAGGTTTTTCGGCAAAGTTTATTGTTATTGTCGACTTGTTTGTTG